AGTAAACATATAAGTAAGCACAAGTAAGCACAAGTAAGCATAAGCAAGCGCAAATAAGCACAAGTAAGCGCAAGTAAACATATAAGTATGCGCAAGTAAGCTCACGTAAGCGGCAAGTATAAGCGCACAAGTAAGCTCAAGAGTAAGCACAAATAAGTGGAAATAAGCACAAATAGGCACAAATAGGCACAAGTAAGCTCAAGTAAGCACAAATAAGCTCACGTAAGCACAAGTATAAGTAAACCAACAAGTTTCGGTAGAGCGTTTCCAAACTCTTTTCGGCGTTTTCGCGCAGAAGTGTCATAAGTCCGCGGCGAGTATTCGAAGCGCTATTTTGACAGTGTACCGTCGTAAACCCTCTATAACCTCAGCCCAAATTAGCTAGAATTTTAAAATTTTATTTAAAAACACTGATATTGTGACGAAAATGGTTATTAACTTACATGTAAACTTAGATGTATTCTATTTTCTAAATGTATTTGGTCTCTGGGGACGAGATTTAGAGTACGTGTCCGTGAGGGTACGTATACTAAGCTCGGATCAAATGAGAATGAAAGTGCATGGGAGTTGGCAATCACGCCACCTTGGTTAGCTGTTCTTCTTGCTTCCCTTCAGGGCCGCCGAGAGGTGGGGCAGGGGGGAGCAGGGGGGGCGGGGGGGCAGGCGGGGGGGCAAATTGCCCCAGGCCCCGAGTTGCTGGGGGCCCCTGAAAATTTTTTGTTGGGCCCCATATTTCCGCGCAAAGGACAAGATATCTGTTTTCTTGGGCTAAGTACCGAAATTTGGCATAAAAAAATGAGATAAAGTCCCTGGAAAGCAATTGCAACGTACTCGTCCGGGAAAATTTTTTACTCCGGAAAAATTTTTTTTACCCCTAAAATGGTACACTGACCGAAAATTTTTTGGCGACGAGGGGTGGGGGGGGGTGGAGGTTGTTCTCCGAAAAAATTTTTTGCGTAAAATTTTTTTGGATAGGGGGTCCCCAAAAAAATTTGCCCCGGACCCCCGCCAACCTCTCGGCGGCCCTGCTTCCCTTCGTGTCCGCCAACTCTCATCAAGTGTCATTCTCGTCTGACCGGGGCTTGCAAGAAATTGTTAAAAGATTACTGCAGCACTATGATGGTATTGCGGGATCATATTCCCCGCAAGCGGTCATTTTATGGGCCGAGGAGATCCATTCAATAGATCTGGAAAGGTTTTTTCCTAATCCGTCGTATATTAAACCATCCTTTGAGAATCCTTGCTTCTGTTATCTGATTGGAAGCGTACCAAACAAGGTATTTTTATCGATATTTGATTTAGGGTAAGATAAAAATAATAACAAATTAAAGCCCGCGATTGTATACTAATCCTTTCTAAAGAAAATACAGAAGAACTGTGCTATGACCACACATTTGGACACGACAGTTTGTGAAATCAACGCCAGCTTTCATAAGGCAGAGTACAATTTCTAATAGTATAATTCCCTGCACCAGAATCATGAAAACGAATTTGATATACTGCGACTAAGGGTTTAGTAAAATAGCATACTAAAACCGCAACAACGATTCCGTTAGCAAACAGATGTCGTTTCCAGTACTTCGACCACACTCGCGTCATGGGAATATCATGCCAATGTATGCGAATAAAAGTAGACAAAAAGTTGAACACGAATTCAATCCCCAATCCAATAGCAATTCTCGTTAAAGATGACTTCACGACAGACCAATCAGAGAGCTGAAAGTTTGTAATCGTATATAAAACGATGTAGGATTGGCTTAGAATCAGTGAAATGTTCTCAAAAATTATATTTTGTATCTCGGTGTCTGCTTTCAGCCGCCTATGATGTGGTGTGTTTCCAGGCAAATGGTGAAGTCTTGTACAGCATGTTCTGTTCAGAAACCTGATAACTCGTGCCCATACTTTCTCACGAATACCAACAGTCGCTGTTCTAAGAAAATTCGACACACCCGATAGAAGAGAGAGCCCGACAAACAGCCAGATATTCTCAAAATCTGCTTGCATGATACGATACAACATAATGAACGGTGCCCGTATGAAAAAAACCAACGCAAAGCTTCGTTCTGGTTCGATAATCTCTGAAGTACGCCATAATACCATATGCCTACATATAGTAGTAGGTACCAGTGCTAAGGTCGGTGTCAAGATGGCCAATATGAATTTATACAACACATTATCGAGGGAATTAAACCACTTAACAACCCCGTATTTGTAAAACACTCCCATTGAATAGGAGCTCAATAAAGGCACAGCAACAACTATGAAAATGTGGCGACCAGAGTAGGATACAGCTGGATAATTTTGCCGAATTTTGCGAACCACAATCACTGATTCCCAGAGAGTTGCGACAGTAAATGTTAAAATTCCTGGAACGTAATAAGTTTCGATTGAACTGGTATCATCAATACCATACAGGAGTAAAAAACTTAAATATAATGTATTAAATAAACCAGCCAGTTGGCCTACTAAGATAGTTGAAGAATAATGACGTTTAAATTCGTTCCAACCAAATAAGACAAGCAAAAACAAAGGAAACGAGAGATAAAATATCACTTTCTGAAATCCTTTGCCGAGTAATCTTATTCTCCTAACATCAAATGAAAGAGTGTAGTTTTTAGCCTGCCATTCAGAACATAAATCAACTGTTCTCAGATCAAAATATATAAGAGCTATCCCTATAAGCACCAAAGGCAGTACAGCTAAGGTTATGGTAAAGTTCGTCTTCAGACTTCTGAGTAACGACTGGGTAAAAGCAGGCTTGTTTCGCAGTTCATACCCTAGCTGTACATACTCTGTTTCTGATGGTAGATTCTCTTCCTCAAACGAGACATACTCTCTGTGAATTTTATCCTCCCATGTATAGCGTATACGTTGTTCTGATGGACTTGCATTGTCGTTCACTTCTCGAAAAGGTTGTGGAGCGTCCAAAGTCATGGCAGAAAACAATGACAAGAAACAAGCGATTATTTCTTCCAACATTGTGAAAATATCCATTAACTGGCAAAGTTTATATAACCAAGTTGCGCTTTTAAAGTCACTTGTTCATGATTTTCCAATATGCTGAAGTTTCCGCTTTTCCGCGTCGTCTTTCGATATACGTGGCGTTCAAAGTGAAACTGAAGAGTTTCAGTTCGAAAAGGAGACAGAGCCACAACAACATCAGCAAAACAATAAGGTTAATTATTTTCATTATATATGGACTACTAGTTTTGTACTTGGTGGTCAATAAATAGAATTGATAGGTGTAATTAAATTTTCTTGTTACCAGTTGACTGTCATCCAGTTTTAGAAAAAAACGTTTTTCTTTCGGGCAGCAAAATCCCAAAATGAAAATTTCCGGAGTATACCAGACGTTACTTTGCGGTAAACTGCGCCACTTTGTGGTAAACTTCAATTTCGATTTGCACAATGCCAATGGCAATTGACTTGGTATTTTTAGACAAGTATATTACATGGCGTTTTAATACACATGTTGACAAAAAACTCCTGTGAAGATATTTTGTCGCTGGGGCATCATGTGCCAAGGCGCCTATACAGGGTGTATAAAAAACTGAACAGATTTGAAATTGATATTTTTTGTGTGTTTTGATGTTACGTACCCAGGTGCTCTCAATTTCGCAAAACAGCTATTAGTATCCAGTTTTGGATGTATATATAGTTTCTTTGGGTACTTATAATGTAGAACAATGAAAAAATTTCTCGAACTCAAACTTTGTGAACCAGGGGGTGTCTTTCCCAACAAACTAAAAATGGCTTGCGCACGAAATTTAAAAGCTTTAATCGTATTTTGAGTTAGCTAACATATGGAACATTTGTTGGGTTGTTAATTACTGTACAAAATTTTAGACATTTTGCTTTAGTTTAAGCCCTCTAACTATTCATTTTTTCCTAAAAAATCAGCCTTTCGCATGCTTAATTAATGTATTTACCAATAATTTGCATATTATGCTTGTGATGTTACATACTCGAACCGACCTGACCGCGTGGCTCAGTTGGCAGAGCATTGGGCTGGTGTTCCGGGGGTCGTAGGTTCGATTTCCACCGTGGCCAGGCATATTTTTCAAGCCTGCCCGGTGTGGATATACACTCAGAGTAACATCACAAGCATCTTATTCACCTGAGTACATTACACTAACACAGCAACTACAATTTGCATATTACTGACATATGCAAAGTACGCAAAGGCATTAATTACGAGATTAGTTTAGCATGCATGTTAGCTATGCTAATTAAGTATATGTCTAGTGTACTTATACTAACAAAGTCTTCATTGCAAACATCAGTGAGTTTTGAGTGAGAATACAACGGCAACGTCAATGAAGATGTGATCATCAACAACAGAATTTTACTCTAAAGCCCGGATCAAATGAGGATGGGTTGGCAGTAATGCTTTCCCGACACAATCATGTATCTTATATAAGTTAAAACGTAGGAACGCTCATCAAACATTTGTTTTGTTGATCTAGAGCTTAAAATTCCTCTGTAACAATGGACAAGTTGCATGTTAGACTAAATTTTAATCTAAGTAAAGAGAAGGGAATCAAACACAACAGTTACAAAGAACGTAATGAAATTAGTAAAATTGCAAATTTTCGGCTCAAAAAAGGTAACAATTTCCGCACGTAATACAAACATACTGAAAATATGCAAATTTCGCAAGGCTATATTTTCTGTATTTTACAACATTTCGTAACCAAAATTTGCAATTTTACTGATTTTGATAAGTTCTTTACGGGAATTTACTTTTTTTTGTCTAAATCAAAAATTAGTCTATTCTTGACTTAGGGCCAGTTCATATGGGCAAAAGTTATCCCGGTTAACGAGAAAACTTTTCGACTAGCCAAATACTTTTGTTCTGTTCATATGGAGAAACATTATCCCGCTTACCGGGTAAAGTTTCCGGCTGTAACGTAGCACTGAACATCAATTGAATTGAAAAGTTGCTGACACGACAGAAAGTTATCCCGCTAAGCGGGAATGTTGTACGACCATTCGTGAAATCAACGCCAGCTTTCATAAGGCAGAGTGCAATTTCTAATAGTATAATTCCCTGTAACAGTGGTATGATGAAAACGATCTTGAAATATTGCGAGCAAGGGTTTGGTAAAGAAGCATACCATAACTGCAACAGCGATAATGTTAGCAAACATATGTCGTTTCCAGTATTTCGACCACACTCGCGCTATGGGAATATCATGCCAATGTATGCGAATAAAAGTAGACAAAACGTTAAACACGAATTCAATCCCCAATCCAATAGCAATCCTGATTAAAGATGACTTCACGACAGACCAATCAGAGAGATGAAAGTTTGTAATCGTATATAAAACGATATAGGATTGGCTTAGAATCAGTGAATTGTTCTCAAAAAGTATATTTTGTATCTCGGTGTCTGCTTTAAGCCGCCTATGATGTGGTGTGTTTCCAGGCAAATGGTGAAGTCTTGTACAGCATGTTCTGTTCAGAAACCTGATAACTCGTGCCCATACTTTCTCACGAATGCCCACAGTCGCTGTTTTAAGCAAACTCGACACACCCGATAGAAGAGAGAACCCGACAAACAGCCAGATATTCTCAAAATCAGCTTGCATGATACGATAAACAGTAATGAATGTTGCCCGTATGAAAAAAACTAACGCAAAGCTTCGTTCTGGTTCGATAACCTCTGAAATACGCCATAATGCCATATGCCTACATATAGCGGTCGGCACCATTGCTAAGGTCGGTGTCAACATAGCCAATATGAATCTATACAACGCATTATCGAGGGAATTAAACCACTTAACAACAGCAAATTTGTAAAACATTGCCATTGTATAGGAGCTCAATGAAGGCACTACAAGAATCATGAAAATATGGAAACCCGAGTATGATACAGTTGGATGATTTTGTCGAATTTTGCGCACCACAATCACAGATTCCCAGAGACCAGCGACAACAAATAATAAAACGATTGGGACGTCGTAACTTTTGATCGGACCCGAATCGTCATCACCATATAGGAGTAAAAAGCTTAAATATAATGTATTAACTAAACCAGCCAGTTGGCCCACCAAGATCGTCGTTGAATAATGACGCTTAAATTCGTTCCAACCAAATAGAACAGCCAAAATCAAGGGAAACCAGCTATAAAATATTACTCTTTCAACTCCTTCGCCGAGTAATCTTATTCTCTTAACATGAAATGAAAGAGTGTAGTTTTTATTCCGCCATTCAGAACATAAATCGGTTGTTCTTAAATCAAAATATATAAGAGTCATTCCTATAAGTACCAAAGGCAGTACAGCTAAGGTTATGGTAACGTTCGCCTTTAAACTTCTGAGAAGTGACTCGATATAAGTAGGCTTATTCCGCAGTTCATACCCAAGCTGTACATAGTATTCTGGTGGATTCTCTTCTTCAAACGAAAGATACTCTCTGTGAATGCTATCTTCGCGTGCATAGCGTGTACATTGCTCTGATGAACTTGTACTAGTGTTCATTTCTCGAGAAAGATGTGGCACATCCAAAGTTAATGCAGAAAACAATGACAAGAAACAAGAGATTATTTCTTCCAACATTTTTCAAATATCAATTGACTGGCACTACAATTCGATATACAATTAATGCAGTTATGCAAGCATAATTTCCGTATATGCTGAAACCCTGTTGTATTTCGATATACGTAGCGTTCAAAATCAAAGCTTCGTTTGACAAGGAAATAAAGTAAGAACAATAATATCAACATAGCAGAGACAGTAACATCCTCGTTCCCAGGGCTTCTCGGCTGACGGCTGAGTGCGCACCATTGAAATGAATATAACTGGAACGCTTCCTTCAACCGGAAATTTGAAGCCAAACTTGAAGGCCAGTCCCAGATATAAACACGCGGGTTTGACCAGACACGCGTGGGGGTGAAGATTTGGCTTCAAGAAAAATATAGGCAGTTTATCTGAAGGTAGCGTTCCAGTTATATTCATTTCAAGTGCATATGACATGAAATTTCTTATTTTCTTAAACGAAAGAACTCTTTAAGCTGTAGTGTAACTTATTTTTCAGTTTCTTGTTTTCACGGTTTGTTCCAGAGATATTTCAATTTGTTTGATATGTAAATGAGCGTGAATATGTCCGCTAATTTATGACGTCACGTTGGTTGCAAGCTCAACTTACACTGGTTATAAATCTATTAACTCTAAAAACTATAGATATCTGTTCACGTTTTTCTATAGTGTTTCATCACATTTACCAGTGAGTGAAGTTTGAAATTATCATCTTGGATGATAGCAGTGATATTCAACCATTTTGAAGAGCTAGCAACCAACATGACGTCATAAATTAGCGGACATATTCATGCTCATTTACATATCAAACAAATTGAAATATCTCGGGAACAAACCATAAAAACAAGAAACTAAAAAATAAGTTACACTTAAGAAAATAAGAAATTTCATGTCATATGCACTTTCAATGGTGCGCATGCAGTCAGCCAAAAGGCCCTGTGAACGAGGAAGCAGTGTTGTTTTTCGCGACCGGTCGACCCATTTTATAATAGCGGTCCATATACAATGAGATCAGTGAGCAGTCCGTACTGCAAATTACCGACCGCAAGGTTAATCAAAGGTCGTTGAGGCCGACTCACGGATGAGATAAAATGAAAGTGACAGAAAGAATTAGAGCAGTTTACAGTTGTTGTTGCAAACGGGCACCGTGCGAATTTTGCCATTTATCGTGCTTCTTTCGTCAAATCAAAAGAACGAACGCGTGCTCCAGCCCGATCTCCGGTTCTGAAAGACTTGATTCGCAGGCAAACAGTGCAAGCAAAGCAGGCTGATCTTTGCCATTGTTTAACTGCCCCACACTCAAGTAACCACAAAGGCTCTCAGATGTTGCTTCGCGACATCCGTGAGTCAAAAAGGCAGCGGATGGTAGCAAGCAGTGTTGGAAAATGTCCGCCAGTGTCAGCAGGTAATTTTTAACAGAAAAATTTTTACGAGTTGCAGGAATAATCGCAATTGCTCAACCGTTATTGACTTTGTTAACAAGTATCTTACTAAAAATATCTATCTAGTGATTATATGCAAGAAAACATGGTATTTTAGCGAATCAAAAATCATTGACGTGTATTGTCGTGGTGCAAAGATGACTTTTCCCATCTTCTCAGACATGTTATTTTGGGAAGCATGCGCGAAAAATTAACGACCATCATACCATGACAGTCCATCAGAACAATGTGCACGTTATACATGGGAGGATAAAATTCACGGAGAGTATGTCTCGTTTGAGGAAGAGAATTTACCATCAGAAACGGAGAATGTACAAATAGGTAATGAACTGCGAAACAAGCCTACTTATATCCAGTCATTACTCAGAAGTCTGAAGACGAACCTTATCATAACCTTAACTGTACTACTGCCTTTGGCACTTATAGGGATGGCTCTTATATATTTTGATTTAAGAACAGTTGATTTATGTTCTGAATGGGAGGATAAAAACTACACTCTCTCATTTGATGTTAGGAGAATAAGATTAATTGTCAAAACAACCCACTTGCAAGACAGTCTTACCTAAATTCATTAGTATGGATAAATACTTAACAGCTACAATAATCATATATTATATGGATGGATCAGATCAATGGCACACAATATGTACAAAACTAAACCTGTGATACCTTCTACTCAAACCGATGTTCCCCCACAACACAAATTGTTTTGTGTGGATATGCTGTGTTAAACCGAACAGTGTGGTATATCATTAACTGTGCACAGGATTGGAATTGAATTATATACTTCACTCATGACCTTCAAAACATTCTCTACTATTCAGTGGTCTTCGATATATGATTGACCTCTTTGCTACATGTACAGTAATGCATGTTCCTCAAATAACTTGTGTATGTTACTCAACAGTTAACATTGGCAAGTGTAAACAACAAGTGACAGAAATTTTGCTTCATATGATTACAATAAAGTTTTGAAAATTCAAAGAAGAAGAAGAAGAAAGATCTTTATTTTGTCAGGGTAATCCTTTCAGTGCTACAGTGAACACTGTTATCAACAGGAGCCCTGAGAGTATGGGGATTGACAAGTGACAGATTACCAAATAAATAGCCGACTGCCGGCTGTATACACACTTTGAATATTGTTTGCATGAAATTTTTATTTCCTGACTGCATAATTATCTGTTACAATCGTAACATATATTATACAATTAGTTAAATTTTCTTGACAAATGAGGGGAGGGGGCAGTTGCCCCTGCTGCCTTCCCCGCTGGGTACAGCCCTGTTTTAAATCTTATCTGCTATTATAATAAGTGATGAAATATTTCAATTGTCCCATTCATCTTCACTATTCAGTTCCTTTCAAGAAAATACAAAATGTGAATCAAGTTTTTTTGCAGATACATGTACGCGTCGCGTACCTATTTTTGTAAATGACAAAGAGTGACAAAACAAAACACACATGTCACTCAATCTTTCAAAATATCTGTATCGCCCCTATTGACAAGGGTTTCACACACATAAATAACTCATTAAAATAAACAGTTTAAGTTTATAAGGCAATCATCAAAGTGATTTTATTAAATAAAAAAGAAAAAAACAAAATTTTCTTACATGTATGAAATTAAATTGGCTAAAAACTGCCTCGAAAACTGCAGCTAAAAAGCAGTTTTAGGTCAGGAAAACGGACTAAAATAAGCTAAATAATGGTGTGAAAACTGAAAAATACCATAAAAACAAGAAAGCGAAACAGCCAAAGCAAAAATAAATTCCTAATTTATAAAAATACAGATTTATTCAAAAAAAGAAAAAAAGTTTGAAATTAGTTGTTGAATTCGCAACGAAAAATACAGATTTACTCACACATACAGTGGGAAAATGCAGTAGACAGATCGATTAGATGAAGGAAATCAGGTTTACATGAAATAAATGAAGTATAATTCCTTTTTTGCTCTTTTAAAATTAAGAAAAACACAACCCGAGAGTCGCGGACCCATCACTTCCCGCCATGAAAATACAAAAAATGTTTGGCCGCGCGGGTAAGGAGACTGAGAATGACACGCAAGAATGCCTTCAAAATCCGCCATCTTTGGCTTCACTTTTTGATTACGTCACTGACTGAAGTCAGCCTTCCATGTATATAGTTCACTGGTGCACGCTAGGCCCCAGACCTAAATGTGGCACGTTTCAGCAGTTTCACTGACATGTTTCAGCTGCTTCACTGCCGTTTCACCGCCCATTCTTATAGACGCCCTGGCACAAGTAAGCATAAGCAAGCTCAAGTAAGCGCAAGTAAACATATAAGTAAGCACAAGTAAGCTCAAGTAAACTCGCAAGTCAAGTTGCGCTTTTAAAGTCACTTGTTCATGATGGACTAGTTACTAGTTTTGTACCTGGTAGTCAATAAATAGGATAGGTGTAATTAAATTTTCTTGTAAAGACCCTGTCACACGCATGCACTATTGCGTGTGAGAGAAACGTATGAAAAGCGTATGAAAATTGAAATAATTTTCATACGCACAAAAATCCTTTGAAATGCCAGCGTGTAAGTACCGTACATCTGGCGTACCTCTAGCATTCAGCGTGTGCCTATAGAGTATGCTTATCGTATAAACCATTCTGCCTTGCCGTATGCCAGCGTATGCCACCGTATGCTACCGTGCTTGAAACGTGTATAACCTATGCCCAACGTACCCTTAGCGTATGTCAGCGTATACCGGCGTATGAGTGATATTTTTCATACGCTGGCATATGCTAGTACGATACGCAATAGTGTGACAGGGCCTTTACCAGTTGACTGCCATCCAATTTTAGAAAAAACGTTTTTCTTTCGGGCAGCAAAATCCCAAAATGAAAATTTCCGAAGTATACCAGACGTTACTTTGTGGTAAACTGCGTCACTTTGTGGTAAACTTCAATTTCGATTTGCACAATGCCAATGGCAATTGACTTGGTATTTTTAGACACGCATATTACATGGTATTTTAATACACATGTTGACAAAAAACTCATGAAGATATTTTGTCGCTAGGGCACCTGTGCTAAGGCGCCTATATACAGGGTGTATAAAAAAAACTAAAAAAACAATCAATTTCGCAAAACAGCTATTATAGTATCCAGTTTTTGATGTATGCATACATTAGTTTCTTTGGGTACTTATAATGTAGAACAATGAAAAAAAATTCTCGAACTCAAATTTTGTGAACCAGGGGGTGTATCACCAATCAGGTTTTCGTCCTAATCATTCTACAGAAAGTGCCTTGCATAAATCTGTGATGTACTGGTACAAACATATGGACAAAGGGGACATTGGCATAGCAGTTTTTATAGATTTGAAAAAGGCATTTGATACTGTGGACCATAACATTCTGTTGAATAAACTAATGCGTTATGGAATCAAAGATAATGAATTAAAATGGTTCCAGTCATATCTATCGAATAGGACTCAATGCTGCTATGTCAATGGAGTTCTTTCAAGCAGCCAAATAATAGAGAGCTTAAGATCTACGACGCGGCCGGCTCAACAACGCGGTCTGAATTTCTGCTCAAGAATGAGTGCTAAGCAATTTTATTGCTGTAATAAATGTTTGAAGATTTTTCAAATAACATTACAAACTGCTAATTTCGACTAAAGCGATGCAATGTTTGCTGTAATTTCGACTTTGAGTATAGCTCTTGAGACGCAATAAGCTTTCACGTTGCATGAAAGACGTGATAATGCTTAGTTTAACGTTGTGCTGAGAATGGCAAAGCCGTTGAGAATACCCCTGGGACCACAAATTATTCACACTTTTTGTCTGGCATGACAATTTCTTTCTTTCGCAAGCGCGTCGTTCAGCCGGCCGCGTCGTAGATCTTAAGTTCGCTAATATCATGCGGAGTACCACAGGGCTCTATCCTTGGACCGCTGTTATTTTTTATATACATCAATGATTTACCTGTCTGCCTGTCTGAATCCATCCCCAATATGTATGCTGATGATACAAATATAACTGCTTATCATACAAACATTAATAAAGTTGAAGACGTACTTAATAAAGATCTAGATATCTTATATAGATGGCTGCAAGCAAATAGACTAAGTTTAAACGTCTTAAAAAGCGAGTACATGTTAATTGGCTCCAAAGTCCGAATAAATAAGTTGACATCAGATCCTAAGATATTTATCGGAGAACACCGCTTAAAGCGAGTAGTTGTAACAAAATCCCTGGGGCTTATGATTGATGAATATTTATCGTGGGAAGAACACGTAAATTATATATCCAAAAAAAGTAGCCAAAGGCCTGCGAATGTTAAGACGCATTCGTGGTCTAGTGCCACTTAACACGCTAGTTGACATATACTCTTCTATCATTCTCCCCCATTTTGATTATTGTAGTTCTGTGTGGGATAATTGCAGAAAAGGTTTACGGGATAAGCTTCAAAAATTACAAAATCGAGCAGCTCGAATAATTACTAGGAACAACTACGAAATACGCTCTTCCCAAATTTTAAATAACTTAAATTGGCCGACACTAGAAGATAGGCGAATGAAACAAAAATCTTGTATAATGTTCAAAGTATTCCACAAATTAGGCCCATCTTATCTTCCATCCCATCCATTCAATCAATCGAATTTAATTCATAGTCATGGACACAAGGTCATAACTACAATTTTGTTATCCCTAAACCAAACACCAATTTTTTTAAATAAAATAATATAATGGAGTAGTGGTATGGAATTCATTACCAATTGAAATTAGGAATTCCACTTCCCTAAAAATATTCAAATATAAACTGTAGAATTAATTTGTTATGTATATGGCTTTAATTTTTCATTCTCCTCCTTGTAAATATTGTAAATATTTCAAATGTCATGGCGCCTGGGAAGATCATCTTATTTTCGATGACAGGCCTCCGTGCCTAAATAAAGTTCACTATCACTATCGCTATGTGTCTTTTCCAACAAACTAAAAATGGCTTGCGCACGAAATTTAAAAGTTTTAATCGTATTTTGAGTTGATAGATGGAACATTTGTTGGGTTGTTAATTACTGTACAAAATTTTAGACAATTTGCTTTGGTTTAAACCCTTTAACTGCTCATTTTTCCCTAAAAAAATCAGCCTTTCGCATGCTTAATTACTGTCGATGCAATAGAAGTGTTGATAAAATATTGCATAAATTCATTTCCTCAAGTTGATCAATTCATACGAATTCAAATTTCTTTTTACTTCCTGTGCGTTTCCTATTGGTCAATCGGTTCTGAAACGAAATCTAATTGGCTCACCTAAAAGTAACAGGAAGTTGATCATAAGTTGATATCAAATGAATTGATCAACTTGAGGAAAATCAACACTTCTATTGCATCGACAGAAATGTCATTACCTATAATTTGCATATTACTGACATATGCAAAGTACGCAAAGGCATTAATTACGAGATTAGCTTAGCATGCATGTTAGCTATGCTAATTAAGTATATGTCTAGTATACTTATACTAACAAAGTCATCATTGCAAACATCAGTGAGTTATGAGTGAGAATACAACGGCAACGACTATGAAGATGTGATCACCAACAATAGAACTTTTATCATTTATAGACCTGGAGGGAGGGGGATTCGGCGAAATATTACCCGAAGTGATGATATCATCACTGAGGGTAATATTTCGCCGAATCCCCCCAGCGGAGGGTCTATAAATTATATATTATACCGAAAATTAAAAGCCTCCAAGTTGAGAATTAAAAACTTGACACATACCTTCGTGAATACGATGTTTTATTTTCGGATTAACGCAAGAATCGTCGCTTTTCTTTCGAATCACACATCGTTTGGAATATTAATGACAACATTTTTCAAAATATACTTCAAAATTTTGAAAAAGCCCCAGGTTTTACGTTTAAAATTTGATTATTCATCACTCATCAATACTATTTATATTTTGTCGGCCATGTTGTTGTCATGCGTGTTGTCTCGCGTGGTCTATGCGAATAATGTTCCACCCCATGTTCCCCGGGGAACATTGTAAAAAGAAACGCAGGCTCACTAATTGATGACGTAAGGCGTGATATCGCGATTAATTTCATGCTCACGTGGCACAAACTAAGCTTACTGATTGCACAATTTGAATTTGAGGTATAATATTACTCTAAAGCCCGGATCAAACGAGAATGGGTAATGCTTTCCCAACATAGTTGGAACACCCATCAAACATGTTTTGTTGAGATAGAGCTTAAAAGTCCTCTGTATAACAATTCTTGACTTCCTCGTTACCGGGGATTATCCAGTTTTAGTTAAACAAACAACAAGAGGATATCCATTACATAATTCCAAGGAGATTTCATTGTAAAATTTCTAAGGTATAATAAGTGAAACATCCGAGATGGCCATGAGAGACGACTGGATATTACCACGCGATAACTAACAAAAACTCTTATCAACTCTTATTAAAATTTGAACCAGTTCGAAGTCAATGAGAGTTGGCGGTCAAACGCAAGCGAGAGTTGCAGCTCTCATCACAACTTCTTGAAATTGCTACAGTACTGCTAGATGAATTTCGCATGTCACTAGCAAAGAAATTCAATTTGGACATCGAGAACGTCTTTGTTGCTTTTGATATTGTTTATAAGAAATATTTAATATTTTAAAACAAATTAATGAAGTAAGGACATGTTATTGACAGTTTGGCGAAAGCCAATCAACGTTTAGGTGTCATGCCAATTTTTGTTGGGACCCCATGTTCTTGGAGAGATTGCACCGCACATTTGCAAACCACCATTCGTGAAATCAACGCCAGCTTTCGTAAGGCAGAGTACAATTTCTAATAGTATAATTCCCTATAACAGTGGTATCATGAAAACGATCTTGAAATATTGCGAGCAAGGGTTTGGTAAAGAAGCATACTATAACTGCAACAGCGATAATGTTAGCAAACATATGGGAATATCATGCCAATGTATGCGAATAAAAGTAGACAAAACGTTAAACACAAATTCAATCCCCAATCCAATAGCAATCCTGATTAAAGATGACTTCACGACAGACCAATCAGAGAGCTGAAAGTTTGTAATCGTATATAAAACGATATAGGATTGGCTTAGAATCAGTGAATTGTTCTCAAAAAGTATATTTTGTATCTCGGTGTCTGCTGTCAGCCGCCTATGATGTGGTGTGTTTCCAGGCACATGGTGCAGTCGCTGTTTTAAGCAAACTCGACAGACCAGATAGAAGAGATAGACCGACAAACAGCCAGATGTTCCCAAAGTTTGCTTGTATGATACGATACAACATAATGGACGGTGCTCGCATGAAAAAAACAACGCAAAGCTTCGCTCTGGTTCGATAACCTCTGAAGTACGCCATAATGCCATGTGCCTACATACAGTAGTCGGCACCAGTGCTAAGGTCGGTGTCAACATAGCCCAAATGAATTTATATAACACATTATCGAGGGAATTAAACCACTTAACAACCGCGTATTTGTAAAACACTGCCATTGAATAGGAGCTCAATAAAGGCACAGCAACAATTACTATGAAAATGTGGCGACCAGAGTAGGATACAGCTGGATAATTTTGCCGAATTTTGCGAGCCACAATCACAGATTCCCAGAGAGTTGCGACAGTAAATGTTAAAATTCCTGCAATGTAATAAGTTTCGATTGGACTGGTATCATCAATACCATATAGGAGTAAAAAACTTGAATATAATGTATTAAATATAAACCAGCCAGTTGGCCTACTAAGATAGTTGAAGAATAATGACTCTTAAATTCGCTCCAACCAAATAATACAATCAAAGACAAGGGAAACGAGAGATAAAATATCACTTTCTGAAATACTTTGCCGACAAACAGTCGGAAGAGACTTTTTTGTGAGAAACAAACTTAAAATCTATTCCATTTAAGGTGGTCCTACGTTGAAAACAGTGTTAGTCGTGACGTAATTACCGGAAAGGTCTATTAACGTGATTCATCAGTAATTGTTCTGGAAATGAGAATTTGCTGAAACTTATAACTTAAAGCAAGAATTTGTTATTAGATACGAGCAGTAAAAGTGCGCAATGCAAAACTGATGAATGACCTTATGTATTGAAATACACGTATGTAATTTGCCTGTCTAGAAATTCCAAGTCAAGTGTCATTGCGCAAAACGAAATTGGAATGTGGCACCGCATTGTCGTTTGAAACCAACTTCCGCAGGAACTTTAACCACCAAATGCAAAACTACAAGTCCATACATAATAGTTTTGGAAAATAATTAACCTTATTGTTTTGCTGATGTTAGTGTTGTTCTTGCTCTGCAGCCTCCTTGTCGAACGAACCTTTCAGTTTCATCGTGAATCACGTCTCTCGAAAGAGGAAATGATCAACAAGTAACTTTAAAAGGGCAACTTGGTTATATAAACTTTGCCAATCAATTGATATTTTCACAATGTTGGAAGAAATAATCGCTTGTTTCTTGTCATTGTTTTCTGCCTTAACTTTGGATGCGCCACGACTTTCTCGGCGAGAAATGAACGACAATGAACGTCCATCAGAACAATGTGCACGTTATACATGGGGGGATAACATTCACGGAGAGTATGTCTCGTTTAAGGAAGATAATTTACCATCAGAAACAGAGATTGTACAAATAGGGTATGAACTGCGAAACAAGCCTACTTATATCCAGTCGTTACTCAGAAGTCTGAAGGCGAACTTTACCATAACCTTAGCTGTACTACCTTTGGTGCTTGTAGGAATAGCTCTTATATATTTTGATTTGAGAACAGTTGATTTATGTTCTGAACGGGAGGCTAAAAACTACACTCTCTCATTTGATGTTAGAAGAATAAGATTAATCGGCAAAGTATTTCAGAAAGTGATATTGTATCTCTCGTTTCCCTTGTCTTTGATTGTATTATTTGGTTTGAGCGAATTTAATAGTCATTATTCTGCAACTATCTTAGTAGGCCAACTGGCTGGTTTATTTAATACATTATTTTTAAGTTTTTTACTCCTATATGGTATTGATGATACTAGTCCAATCGAAACTTATTACGTTCCAGGAATTTTAACATTTACTGTCGCAACTCTCTGGGAATCTGTGATTGTGGTTCGCAAAATTCGGCAAAATTATCCAGCTGTATCCTACTCTGGTCGCCACATTTTCATAGTTGTTGCTGCACCTTTATTGAGCTCCTATTCAATGGCAGTGTTTTACAAATACGCGGTTGTTAAGTGGTTTAATTCCCTCGATAATGTGTTGTATAAATTCATTTTGGCTATGTTGACACCGACCTTAGCACTGGTGCCTACTACTGTATGTAGGCACATGGCATTATGGCGTACTTCAGAGATTATCGAACCAGAGCGAAGCTTTGTGTTGGTTTTTTTCACACGGGCACCGTTCATTATGTTGTATCGTATCATGCAAGCAAACTTTGGGAACATCTGGTTGTTTGTCGGGCTATCTCTTCTATCTGGTCTGTCGAGTTTGCTTAAAACAGCGACTGTTGGTATTCGTGAGAAAGTATGGGTACGAGTTATCAGGTTTCTGAACAAAACATGCTGTACAAGACTTCACCATTTGCCTGGGAACACACCACATCATAGGCGGCTGAAAGCAGACACCGAGATACAAAATATACTTTTTGAAAACAATTCACTGATTCTAAGCCAATCGTACATCGTTTTATATAGCATTACAAATTTTCAGCTCTCCGATTGGTCCGTCGTGAAGTCATCTTTAATCAGGATTGCTATTGGATTGGGGATTGAATTTGTGTTCAACTTTTTGTCTATTTTTGTTCGCATACATTGGCATAATATTCCCATAGCGCGAGTGTGCTCAAAACACTGGAAACGACACGTGTTTGCTAACGGAATCGTTATTGCAACTTTAGTATGCTATTTTACCAGACCTTTACTCGCAGTATTTGAAACTCGTTTTCATGATACCTCTGTTTCAGGGAATTTTACCATTAGAAATTGTACTCTGCCTTATGAAAGCTGGCGTTAATTTTACAAACATAAAACTGTAGACTTACCCTGTTGTTAACAGACTTGATAATGAGAGGTAATGTCTTGCTAATATCAACATCTTGGGGACATAATTCATCTGATATCTCTGATAATGAATCCCGAAATCCTCCACCCTGGAAAATAGAAGAAAAAAATCAGTTTAAAACGGTTAAAGGGATATGGCATTATAAATTTAGTTTGTCGAACTTGAAAGAACTTTTATAATGATATACAAACTCCTTTATTGTTTAACCCTATAAAACTACTCTCATACAGGTGACGACATAACAATTAGTACATTTTTTTTAAATGTTGTCACTCAATGTACTATTTGAAAGAACGTCCAAATTATACGTTTGGGCTCACAATGACCATTGGCTAACTGGTTGAAAAATTTGCGTGATCCTGGTATTGAACTATAAGTAACCTGGAATGATAACTCCTATGATGAAGGCCTATGATTCGATGAAGCCGACGCGCGGGAAAATCAGCTTTCAAAAGGACTAAGGAGAGTTTCGCTCACCTTTGCCGTAACAATTTGGGTACGGTTTCTAAACGGAACAAGATGAAGACGGAGCGCTTGGCGGCTTCGTGTGAACAACTCCACCCAAGCCTTAGAACTAATGCCGCATTGAGCACTTGCACTACGATTTTGGCAAGCGTATAATCTGACTATAGCAAAGGCTGGCAAGTACACAGCTAACAGATGAAAACAACCATTTGTAGTGTTACTGGACAAGTTACGCAAGTTAAGAAAAAGCGCAACAGCAAGGCATAGGATTTGTTCTGGAAGGAATATTATTTGGTCGGATAAGATCATCTCAGGAGTGTCAATTCAAGATGCATGACAAGAAAATTTCGCATGTCCAGAGAGACATTTAATTATTTATCCCATACCTATAAAGAATAAATATAACTCACTTTACAATCTTTAACTTTTACATTGTACTATACCTAAATTCTATATAACTTGTTGTAAAACGCATGTAAGTTAGCTTACTAGCTATTTAGTGTATATATATATATATTAACGGCTTATTGACCGAGCGTGAGGTCTGTACTGTGAAATATCAGACCGAGGTTTTTTAGTATGGACCGAGCGACGAAGGAGCGAAGTCCATGCAAAATACAGAGGTCTGATATTTCACAGTACAGACCGAACAAGTGAGGTCAATAATCGGTCTATTATATGGCTGAACCGAGTCTGTGAGCATATGCTTCTCGCGCGAATTAAATCGGCTATCGTCAGTTTCACTGGGTAACAATATACGGTAGGCATGCATGCTCAATCAAAAACAATTTGGTTGTTTGAAATTTTTATCTGTAAATTTTAATGACATACAACTGGAAAATTAAAAAGCAAAAATTTTTTCTGTTTTGAAAAGCAAAAATGTCCCGCCAGATATTAAAACGACATCCGGGACACCGGTCCAGATACAGAAAATACGGACCACGGTCCGGATATGGGTTTTTACGGACCGCTTGTCAACTAATCAGAATAGAGAATTTTGAAAAGTCATATAATAAAAACCATTATTATTATTATAAATCTTACTGGACATCGATAGAAGACAATTTAGAACTGAAAAAGCTATCATTTTAGTTTAGTTACACAGGAATATACAGAGTTATATCTTAATATCTAAGCAGCAAAAAAAAAGAAAAACTAAACCAAAGTAAACTTCGCTTACTTGATCAATAATTCCTTCTCCAACAAACTTCACTTCCCACCATTGATCACATTTCCTCTTATTCCATCTGAAATAAATTTCAATTTATTCTTAAAATTAAATCGCACGACTTTATGTTATTAAGTATAAAGGCTCGGTCAAAGTTCAAACTCTCGTCGACTCTCATCAACATTGAGCTGGTTCAAATTTTGATGAGAGTTGATGAGAGTTTTCCCTCCACGCGCGGTAATACCACACGGCTTGTCATATTGTAGTACATATTAATCTCCTGCATCTTACACGACGCAATTTTGCAGTTGTTGGATAAAATCTTCATGTGGAAAATTTTACCCTACCAGAGAATCTGAGAATCCACCTAGCACAAGGTGAAATCTCGCCTAGCTGCATGGGCTGGCTCGTTTCTCACATGAACAAGAATTGAATTTTATATGCGTTAACAAAGGGGTTGAAGATCTCACTCAGGCGCGAGTTTCCCGGTTAGTTGGGCTCGTAAGCTCCAACATGGCTTTTACAAAGAACTTCTAATAACCAACCTGAAATTCATGTTTTCAGCTTTAAGCGATTCAAAAATTTGATAGAAAACTGAAGTTGTCGGATTATTCAGCCGTTCCTTGACAGATGATCGTCGGTCTACATAAACCACGGGAGCTTGATCTGGTAGAGGCTGTTCAGTAGCCCGTAAGAGCTCAGCTAAGATTCCTGCACGACGATTGGATAACGGTAGCAGAAAACGTAAACTTGACAGAATACGACTAGCATTCGATTTGCTGTTCCCTTCCTCCGGTATCCAAGAAAAGAACGGTTTCCTTGTTTTACTTCTTTCATTTAAATCGCATCGTTGGTTTGTTTTCTTTTGTATTCGACCCAAGTTCCCTATGAACTGCCTGAAATTCTCTTCTTCTTTGTCTAACCGTTCAATTTGTTGCTTTAGTTGTACTAATTCCTGTTCGTTGTTTTCGCTCTCTTTCAAAATTTCCGATTGTTTGTCAACAAGATCGTTTCGTTTCCACTTGTGTTCCGTGATCCGTTGTTGAACGATCTGGAATTGTTCCAATTCGCACGTGCTCATGTGTTTTGTGTGCGATTCAACGTGCTGTAGCATCACCTTTTGTTCGTCAAATAACTGCACCTACAGAATAGCAAGCAATGGAGGACGGATAAGAAATACCGAGAGGTGGTGGTGGTGTGTGCTAATCATTCTCACTTGGGCTTCGTCGCATCTATATATAAAACCTCCGGGCGCTGCATACCCCAAAAAATGTTGAAATCTTAAGTCTCTGAAATGGCATTTCCTGTATTTTGAGGGAAGTTTTAAACTTTTATAGAACACGAAAGATTATATTCTAAACACATAAAAAAATTGTACTTACAACCAGAAGCCTTAAAGTGCATATGACATGAAATTTCTTATTTTCTTAAAAGAAAGAACTCTTTAAGTTGTAGTGTAACTTATTTTTCAGTTTCTTGTTTTTATGGTTTGTTCCCGAGATATTTCAATTTGTTTGATATGCTCAAATTACACTGGTTATAAATGTATTAACTCTAAAAACTGTAGATATCAGTTCACTTTTTCTCCAGTGTTTCATCACATTTATCAGTGAGTAAATTTTCAAATTATCATGTTGGACAACAGCAGTGATATTCAACCATTTTGAAGAGCTTGCAACCAACATGACGTCATAAATTAGCGGACATATTCACACTCATTTACATATCAAACAAAGTGAAATATCTCAGGAACAAACCATAATAACAAGAAACTGAAAAATAAGTTACACTACAACTTAAAGGGTTCTTTCATTTAAGAAAATAAGAAATTTCATGTCATATGCACTTTAAATAAACATTTATAGTTACTTAATTACTCAGTCCCCAGATCCACACTGCGTTGATAATATAAACATCCTGCCGAAAATTGTTTTTCGTCGATCGTGTTTATAAAATATTTCTGTATTCAGCCTGTATCGATATTAAACAACTAATAGTGTGGAATGTCAGCAATACCGGATTGATTATGGGATTTCTGCACAATATAACCAATTATTTCTTTAAAAATGTACACAAACTCTAGGCTAGGACAAAGCTAGGACAAATTTTACAGGTTATCGCCTGATAAGAAGAACCCTGCGGGGATAATCCCAATTTTGGGCTAATCCCAACCCACCTTGTCAACATTCCCTGTAGGAGGAAACTGGAATACCCTTACACCAGGAGGAAACCCATGAGTTTCGGCAGAGCGTTGACTCACTCTTTTCAAACAAGTGTCATGTGTTAGGAGTGAGAATCAAACCCACGATCTCAGAGGCGAAAGGCGCTTGTTCTGACGATTGCGCCACCAAAGGGGCGGGTTCAAATCCCGCTCGACGGTTGAGTGTGGCAATGAAAGAATGTACAATGTATCACCTGTTTCTTTATAAGAGACTGTTGTTCCTTGAATCTCCCAGTCAGACTTTGTCGTAGATCAAGTTTCTTTTTCAGACATTCTTTGCGTTTCTGAATATTTCTGATGCCAGTGGTCAGGCAAATGTCGGCTGTAACGAAATTATAGAAAGCGTGTTAATAACCACGGTCTTAATAGCCAGCCTGGGCTCCGGCTGTCTTATGGACGGCTACATATGTTTGACGGCCGCTTTAAAGACGGCTTTACTATGGATTGAATACATTTTGATCCAATTTAAAAACTGTGCATCCGGCTGAAATTATTCAATGTTGATGAAAAACTACAAACATTTTGCAATAGAACCATCATAAGAAATAATAAATTAAATCAAATTAACATGATCCCAATTAAATTTGGAAAAAAGTAGTAAATCCCATATATTTGCCAATAACTATATTGCTATTTCTAAATCTACCCAATGACTGGGTAATGTCTCGCTCTATTACATGTACAATTTTTAGTTAAATTGGTTGCATTTCGAGTTAGATATGATTATTTTTGTA